GGTGAAGAACAAGCAGCAAAGGCACCATGGAGGGGGCTGCACTGACAGCTCAAAGTGCAGATTAGGCTCTTCTGTCTTTTATCACATAGCCGTGACAGCAGTCACTCAGCAGTGGTCACATAGCAGGTAGCCATTTTGTGAAGACAAATTAGCCTCCAGCATGGCAATCAGAAAGTCAGAATCCCAATGGAAAGTCAAATTCTCATTTGGAAGCCTTAGAAAATGATTGCTTAACAGTGATGGGGAAGTTCAGGGTCAGCTTTCTCATCAAGTCTTTCCTAACTGCAGTCCTAGGTTGTCTTACTCATGGAAATTTCTAACATAATCAGATCTAAAGGCTAGGGATGTAGCTTAGCCACATATTGCCTGCCTGGCAAGCATGAGGTCCTGAGTTCGGTTATTGATTAAAAAAAAAAAAAAAACCCAAACAACAAGAAAACCCCCCAAAACTGTTCTAGTTCTATCTCTGTTGTGCAGCATGCTTCTGGGGTCTGGCTGTCATCTTCCTTTGATAAACTGGCTTGGTCTAGTTATTTTTTATGCTAAGAATTACTGCTAGACATAGCTTAATGTTCCCACTCTCCAGTTGCTAGCCATTTTGATGGAAGTATACCTGTCATGATTTTGACAAACTTTAATTGTTTCCTACACTGTTCTCTAAGATGATCTGTTGCTTTTGTAGCTGGATGGATCCGTGCCATGCCAGGTTGCTCTCTGAGGGTAAACTTGTTTAGTCAGCCCTTTCTCTCTGGTGCCACTGCTGCCTCCACTCCCTGGCAGGGCCTTGTGGACCACACAACCACCGGGCTCTGTGCTCCGATAAGAGTGATCCTTGCTCTTTGCTCTCAGGGAAGGATGGTACATGGGTGCAGTGATGGAGGAAATCTGGTGGGGACCCAGGTCACAGCTATGGTGAGAGTTACACTCTCACACTGGAAGCCGTGCTAAGATCATGGACCCAGCGCAGGCTTCCCCTGACCCATGTGTCACTTGTCCACAAGACTGAGTCACATGGCAATCGGTTAGCAAGTTATACAGCTTTAGGCAAAAAGGTGACGTCATTGAGCTGATGGAGCAAAGGCTGCTGAGGTCTCTTGGTGTCCTCACTGGAGCTGTCAAGATTCCTGCTCTGGCTCCAATAGGTGTGCTCAGTCTTAAGCAAGAATTTTGGTAAGTGGCAGATTGGATAATCCTGATTTTCAACATTTCCTCTGTAGAATGTCAGGCAAATTAGCCTCCATACTGAGGATACCTGTTTTCTTTTGCTCTTTTGGCTAAAAAGTTTTTTTTTTTTTTTTTTTGGTTTTTTTGGTTTTTCTCCGGTACCGGGAACCGAACTCACGACCTTGCGCTTGCCAGGCAGGCGCTTTTGCCGCTGAGCTAAATCCCCAACCCCTGGCTAAAAATTTTTTAAAAGAGCAATTTTAGGTTCACAGCAAAATTGGGAAAAAGATGGTTGTGCACATGCGTAATCCCCCCTGCTATCAACATCTCCTGCGAGAGTTTTATGTTCTTCACAGCTGATGAATTTACAGAATGTATCGCTGTCATCTGAAGCCTGTAACTGACCTTGGGGTCCATTCTTGGTGTTGTATGTTCTGTGGGTTTGGAAGCATGTAGAAGACATGCATTCACCATTGTCATATCATCCAAAATAGTTCCACTGTTTTAAAAATCCTGTGTGTTCTCATCCTTTCCTCTCCCCTGATCTGTTTATTTTCTCCATAGTTTTGACTTTTGCAAAATTTGATATAGTTGGAATCATACAGTATGTGGCCTTTTCAGTTTGGTTTTATTTGCTTAGTGATACGCATTTGTCTTTTCAAACTATACAACTTGATAGCTCATATCTTTTCAGTGCTGAATAATACTACATTGTCTGGATTGCTACAGTTTATCTATTCATTTGCTTCATGCAGGACATCGCACTTCCTTCCATGTCTTGGCAATGATGAGTTAAGTTGCCATAAATATCTGTTTTTGCACAGGTTTTATGTGAACCTAATTTTTCAGCTCTTTGGTGTAGATATTAGGAGCTCTTTTGCTGGACCATATTATAAGAGTATGTTTAGTTTTGTACAAAAGTACCAAACTCTTTTGCAAAGTGGCTATACTTGTTCTTTTGACAACTCCACATCATTTTTTCAATGTCAGCTCAGCATCATCTCCCAGTGAAGCCTCTCTTCACCAAGCGAGAAGCCGCAATTTCCTTTCTACATAAAATTGCCTTGGAAGCATAGTTTTGCATGTAGTTATTTCTATGTAGGTCTCACCTTCTACATTACTAGCTGCCACAGGTCAAATTCAATTGTTATTCATCTTTATATCTCCAGCCCCTGGATAGTACCAGGTATACACATTGTAGATAATCAGTGGCTGTAAATTGAGCTAAACTGACTAATTTAATCAGTGAGGTTTGACAGCTTGATATTATTACTTTAAAAAGAAAGAAACTATGAAATATCAAACCCAGCACAAACCACCTCACCTTTATCATAACTTTATCTCCAATATACAGATTCACACAGGATTTGACTGTGGATAAACTGACACTGAAATCTGGGAATTAGGTCTCTGCACGATTCTGCAGAATGTCTATGAATGGACTCTTGGATTGGCCTGAATATACTTATTTCAAGTTGAAAGCTACCTATACAAGCACAAATGCCTGGGAAGACACCAAGGATTTTCTAATCTCTTTAGTAAAGTGACTTCCTTATGAAACCTGACTTTGTAATCCATGGAGATTATAGTGGCTTAATGAAAGTTAAAAACCAGCATTTACACCCATCTCTTAACAATTTAGCACAAAAGGTTGGCCTTTACTCCAAGATGTTGCAGGGGAAGGGAGGTGATAAGGTATCAATGAGCTGGATATAAAGGAGCCCAATATAAAAGTCTTATTAAAAGAAATCAAGCAGGATAAATTGTGATAACTGGCTAACTGTTGGAATATTTGCAGTGATGTACAGCACAGATACTGATCTCTTCAATTGTTTTATGCACAAGGCTTTCAATTCAGGCTTAGTTTGATATTTCAGATGCTTACTCCACGGTTGAAAGGTGTTCCATATTCATCTGACATGATAATATGCATAATCTGTCAAAGCAGAAACCTGTCATTGCTGCATTTAGCTAAAATAGTGTGAGTTCAGCAGCGAACACGGATGTTTGGAAAATCCTTTGAAGAGCTAGAAGAGTTGATCAAAGCCTTTTGGATGATCTTAAGAGGATGTTTTATGTATTCTCAATTCACAGAGATGGAAGGGGATTCAGATATCATGAGCAGAAGTCACTTGCCCCTGGGAAATGTCCTAGAATACCCTTTGGAGGCTCATAGGTATATATGAGTCCATTCTTTGAAGTTACCTGAGAAAGGAGATTCAATTTTATCAACATTAATCAATTGCAATCCTTGAAAACCTCTAATAAAAGATCTCTCTTACACTGCAATATTTTTATATTATAATATCTCCACAGAGTTATTTTATTTTCACAGTAAGATGAAATAAATCATTCATTATCCTCTTGTTTCATCACAAATACATAGATTTCCCAAGTCACCATCAGGCGTTATTTCAATTCTTTTCTCACTTCTAATGCACAGGTCCTGTTCATCACTGCCACAATCCCTGCAAGCTCCCCAGATCCCCAGACATCAACCTTTGGGGGCCATCAGTCATGGACACACAGGAGCCTGAACAATGAGGTGGTGACTACTTGGTCTTGGAGTGTTATATAGAGCAATGCTTTCTCCCACTTGGATTTACCCTAAGAAATCAAAATTTATTCAAATACCTCTCTTGTGACAGACATAGCTCTGATTTGTGTAGCCTGCGAACTATGCTTACTTTAGATCATTCTGCCAAAGCAAAGTTAATTCACACTGGGGAGGTACAGGAAACAATGCAGGTTCTCAGAGCTTCATTCCCCAAAGATGCTGCCACTGTGACAAAAGACAGCAGATGAAGACTTCATGTGTTTGTTATATCTGGGGCTTTTGACAGGATTTCCTCTACCACCACTGAAGGACACGAAGTCCATCAGAGAAAATCCATTAGTCAGGCCAGGGGACAGATTATCACCCAGGAAAAAATCCCAGCTCCACAAATTATTAACATTGGGACTTTGAGAAGCTACCTAGCTTCTGTGAACTTGTATTTCCTGATTTATGATATAGGAATATTAATGAGTGCATTACAATATTTTTACAAGGATTAGGTGAGATAATGCAGTCAAAATGCTTAGCAAATGATAGCTATTATTGTTTTATACAGTTGCATATTTGCCACTTATAGTTTTCTAGGAATGGAGTCACTGCATTTAGGTCCTTATTTTGTATTTATATCAGATGACCAAGATTCTTCTTTTATCTCAACTGAAACCAGACCAGTTTCAACTGGCACGGTTGTTTTAACTGACTTTTCCCCATGTCTTCTAGGGACAATAGAAAACTTGCTCCTGAACTTTTTAGTAAAATATTTGAATAAAAAGTAGGCAACTCACAAGCTATGTACACATTCTCCCAGGTAGTCTGTAATTTCTTTCTCGAAACAATGTTACTGAGCACAGAACAAGTCTCAGAGACATCCTGGAAGACACCTGGAACCATAAATGGGGAGCCTGGATCCTCACATGGCCTTTGCCTTCCTACTCTGCTATGCTGTCCCAAGACACATGCTCAGCCTTCACTTTGCAGCATAAATAACGTCATCTTCGACCACAGTCCATGTAATATGTAGTCAAGGTGATATACAATCCTGATAAGGACAATAAGTCAAGAACATCATCGTAGAAATATAAACCATGTCACCTACTCCAGTTGCTTTCTGGAATGAATACTAATGACGATGATGCTAGGTTACATGTGAAAAGTGTGTTTTAGGCATGAGTGGAAAATAAACCAATGATTAGTAGTGGGTCCAAACTACTTTAGGTTTGGTTAGTTTTGGCCAGGTTAGAAGGATTAATATTTTCTATATAATCACACCTTTACTTACAGGTTTAACAGGCTTTAACTCAACATGATCCTGGTAGTAGGAGTGTGTATCAAGTCCACCTATGAAATCAACTGAAAATATAACAGCCCAAGATGAATAAATGTGTAAATAAAAATACACATGATGCTAAATGTTCAAATAGAATACATAAGAATAAGATTAATAAAAACATTTGTTTCCTACAAAATGGAAAATGTGTATTTAGTATAAAGGACTACTAAAATATTTTCAGTGATCAAAAAATGGGCAAATCTTAAGAAACACAAATAACCTGGGCTCTTGGGATGAGAAAAATCTGGTTATTATTGGCCTCGTTAAAAAATGAAGTAGCATTAAATAGTATGAGATTTTAAATAATGCACTTACCAAGAAGCAAACAGACGTGCTTTTCCCCCCGTACACCAAAAGATATACTTTCTCTACTTGTTGCCAGAATCCAGTTTTTTCTTTTTTTTTTTTGGTTTTTCTCCGGTACCGGGAACCAAACTCACGACCTTGCACTTGCCAGGCAGGCGCTTTTGCCGCTGAGCTAAATCCCCAGCCCCCAGTTTTTTCTTAAGATTATTATATTCCTTGCGTCATTAGAAGGCTTTGAAGAAGTCATATCCTCTATCTCCATATCTTTTGCTCTGTAGCTATCCCTGAGAAATAGGTATCTAATATTTTCAAAGTTTTCATGTTTTCCCTGATAACATGAAATTTGCCTTGTAGTCTTCATAGACTTGGTATTTTTTGTAAGAGTTGTTCTAATTTTTGTTTGACTAAAGCTTTGATTTTTTTTGTTATTAATTCTTTAATTTGTTTCTCCTTTCTGTAGTCTATTAAAATACTAAATAACTTAAATCAAGCTTTGAATGTGATGAATGATTACACTTTAGTATTAACAGGTATATAGGCACATGGGGACACAGAACTCTCAAGGGTGTGTGGTGTGTGGTGTGTGGTGTGTGTGTGCACACATGCACTAAGATACACAATACATAAATATTGTATCACATCCTCAGTTTAAGGCAGTCATTTCAGCAAACTGTAAATCAGCCTAGAAGTTCCATTGAATTTTTGGCTAGTTGCAACTAATTCTGGTCAATGTCTGACATACTCCATTCTTTTACTTTCTTTGGAGGACCTGAAATAAGGCTAGCACAATAGAAGCTTCACCAGCTCAATGAATAGACATGAACTTCTGAGGCTTTTCAGTGAGCAGGTAAGATCATCTCCAGGCTACCCTCTGAACAGCAGAGACACCTGAGGCTGATCCTTTGCTTTGTAAATCAAGTTTATGGTTAGGGGTAGAGAAATATATTCAGTATTATTATTTTTATATATTTATTTACAACAGTCTTCAATGTTTCTTGGTATAGTTAGTACATTTGTAATTGTTGACATCTAAATGGACTCTGTTAACCATGGTATCATTGAGGAAATAATTCTCCCTATTTTTGCCGGTAATCACCTAGAAACTTCATGAAATAAATGATATGCATAATTTATTTTAGCTCAAATGTTTTTCCAGGTACTGTCATTTTTCCTCCATATGGGTATTTTTTTGGAAAAATTTTATAAGACAAAAATAACATAAATTTTATCCTTGTGTAATTGTTGTTACCAAACACAGATGCTACAAAATTTTAGGCCTTTTCATTCTGTTGAAGAATGTATAAATTACCCAGTTAGAACAGGAGCTCCACCAAAACCAAATCCTGTGAAAACTTGCTCTTATTTTTATCCTCTTTTACTTTTGTGAAGATACAGTTCAATGTTTTTCTTTTTAAAGCTTTCAATTATTACAATTTACTAACAGCTTTGAAAGCTGGCTTTTTTCAGGTGTTTTGTTTGTTGCATGTTGTATTTAAGTTTTCAATAAATCTTTAATGAAATTCACTTAAAATGTAGATGATTCGCTGTAAAATACTCATAACCATTGCTGGAAACAGAATAATTTTCACAGAATTTGTCAAGGCCTGATTGATGAAGACCGAGAGAGAGAATGTATTCTTCCATGCTGATTTTCTTTTTGCTTTCAACATCAGCATCACTATAAAAGTATTTATTTATTTACTCAACGCATTTGTGTATACATATGTATGTAAAGTTTGAAAACTAGTTTCTATTCATTGGTAGAATAATGCCACTTTAGTGTTCTGCAGTTATAAATTGTCTGTGTACCTGAATTCCAAACATATTTCTGCTTCATAAATTTCTTAAATTAGTAAGAATATTATATTTTTGGAATTTTGTACTCATATGTTGTGATCCACCAAAATTTGTATCTGTATTATTTCCATAAAACAATTAACAATAAACAATTAATTAATAAACAATTAACTTATCTTTAGTATTTAATTCTTAAACGAGTTACTGGCATTTAAAATGATGCCAGAGTTTTATATTGGACAAAATGAATATCTAAAAGTTTGCTCTGATGCCATGAATTAGATTTTTAAAGACTGAGTAAACATCATTATTGAAAATAATGTTTGAAAGCATGTGATGAAATGATATGGTACAACCATTATAAATGAATACTATTATTTCAACCCTGAGAAACTCTTTTTCCACTAATGGATCAGCACATTGGCCTGAGCTGCAGGGAGTTCTCTCTCCACCCCTCAGCCATGGTCTGTTGGGAAACTGCAGGTGACAGCTGGAGCTTCAGGTAGTTTCCCCCGCCTCCGCCTGACAATGGATGGCGTGGGGCACCTCCAGCACCTCTGCCAGCGCTCCTTTATTGTTTAGTGATCAGCCTGCAAACTACTCTTGGGAAGGATTGGTGTGTTTTTTTTTTTTTTTTAATTATTTTGGCACCTGGAATAGAACTCAAGACCTTTGCACTTGCCAAGCCAGTGCTGCCCTGCTGAGCTACGTCCCGGGCCCTGCAAATTACTCTTTAAAGGAAGGTGCTAGTTATGTTGTGCCTTTTAAGCTTTGTAGGAATGAGAATTATTGCTGATTTTCTCACACGGTAAAATGAGAGTTTGTTCATTGTACACGTACCTCTCTGCCTTGGTGTGACAAGCTTGCAAAATTAAAGAAGGAAAGGTTTTTGGAGGGAAAGATGCTTGATGCTGCCTGCATCATATTTTAGATTCTCCCCCTCTAACTATTAATAATAATATTTAATTTTGCAAATGAAAAACAAAATCTAGGACAAAGTCTAAACCAGACATGATGCTAGGCCTATCTGTGATGTTCCAATTAACTAAGACATATGGTCACCTTAGCCAAGGGCATTAAAAAATGAGCATAATTTGCTCTGGATATCAGAATTTTTAGAGGCTTGCAAAGATGCCACATGCAGGCTGTTATGGTTGATACACTGTGCCAACTTGAGAAGTCTAGAAGCTTAACTAAATAACTCAGAAGTTCTACATCTTGTGGTGTACAGGACATGTCCTTACCTCTCTAAGATATTGTTCATTGTGTCAACTAGAGAAGTGTAGAAATTTAACTAAGTGACTCAGTTGGGGGCCAGGGTCCTCACTTTATAAACATCCTGAGCCTGTGCAAGAGGAGGGCACGGAGATGGTGTGGGTGAGTAGCAGGCATACAATATAAGAGGAATAGAGGCTTGCTTCCCAACCCCCTTTTTGCTCTTGTTGCATTTTCTCTCTTCTGCTGCCTTGAACAATTGTTATGGTTTGTGTCTAGATGTGCCCCAAAGCCTCATGCAATCATGGGGCCGCCTTCAGGAGTTTTTGATTGACTCATGATCCAATGCTGGGATTATGGGTGTGAGTGCTACACCCACACAAGGGTGGGAAGCCTGCATAAAATATAAAGGAGGGAAAGATGCTTGCTCACTGCTGCTCCTCCCTTTTTGCTCTTGTTGTTTTTGTTGTTTTCTACCAACGCCATGAACTGTTGCCCTCTGCCGTGTGCCACCCTGCCTTGGAGCCAGCTGCTTACAGACTGAAACCTCCACAAACTATGAGATAAAAAAACCTTTCCTTCTTTAATTTTGGGTGTCATTTGTCTCAGCAACAAGGAAAGAGTAACTAAGACACAGGCAATACTTCAACTATCAAGATTTTAGAACTAGGCAAATCTACAGGAAAAAATCTATTAAAGAAGAATAATTAAATAACAGATAATAAAGAAAGTGAAAATATAAGAACCCTTTAGCAAGACATAACAGTGAGGCTATTTGGCAACAGAAGCCCACAAACCCACAGATAATTTTGTTTTCGTATGTTAAAAAAAAATAGTTCATTATATATGTACAAAACTTTCCATTTGCTAGAGTAGGACAATAGTTCAAGTAAAGGTATAAATTGAGGTATGAATGAAGGGTGCGGTTCAAGAATTAATGTTTTATTTAAAAAAAATAATGCCAATGTCAAATACTTTAAAAAAGGAATTTTTTTAAAAAAGCAGACTTAGTGGTGCAGACCTGTACTCCCAGCACTCTGGAGGCTGAGGTGGGAGATCATCATGTTTCAAGGCCAGCCTGGAATAAGTGAGATTCTGTCTCCAAAAATTAAATAAATAAATAAGTAAATAAACAAACAAATATACTAAATTTTAAAAAGAGACTTAATAGCTTTTAAATAATTTTGTAGAAAAATTATCATATTATACTGATAAGAAAGTAAGGCAGCTGTGCATTTTCAGGAGAAAGAAGCAGCTGAATTAAGTTGTGGAAATAATGGATGCATTTCAATGACACATAGGAAGGACTAGGAGAGACGCACAGAATTCCAAAGGTAGTAAAAATGGAGGTTTAGACTGGAAATGTTCTGCAAGATCTTCAGTTGTATAGCAAGAAGACTGCATGGAATCTGCTGTAGAAAGTCCTGGAATGGCAGAGATGGGGACACTGAAAGAAGCATCCAAGCAAGCTTGTGGGACACTGAAGTTGAATTCTGTGTATTCTGGCTAATAAGGCTTGCAAGTGTGAGATATATCTTAGGAAAAAATTAGCACCATTAAAGAGTTATCATCCACTATTCAGAAAACTTTGTTTGAACACACTGCACCATTTTTGTCGCTGTCACTGTCACTGTTAACACCATTTTTGGAAACTGAGGTGTTATCACCAAAAATTCCATGGGTGAAGTCGCGCCAGAAAAGT